TTTTTTTTTTTTTTTTGCTGAAGGGAAAAGAATGTATAGAATTTAATTTATTAAATTTTTTTATCCTTAAACTTTAAACAATTTCTACAAACAGGACTCAGGATTTGAAAACAAAAAAGCATCACATACCAGTGGTTGACCGAACTCCACTAGAGCCCCCACCAATAGTGGTAGTTGTAATGGGGCCTCCAAAAGTTGGAAAGAGCACTTTGATACAGTGCCTCATTCGGAACTTCACCAGGCAGAAATTGACTGAGATCAGAGGTCCTGTGACGATTGTGTCAGGTAGGGGGTACTGCCACAGCTGAAGTGGCAGGTGGTATTGTCTGAGAGATACATGTATCTTTGTTATTTTCTTGCGTGGAAAATGTTAAAGTAGTATTGTCATGTCATATTACCTCTTGTACTTTTATTAAGTTGGCTGTAGCTTCAGAAAAGGATAGGTTCCTAGAAATAATGATGTAGATGTATATTTTATTCTGACTGCTTTATGGCTTTGCCAAGTGTGCTCCTTGGAAAGGCTTAGCAGGCCTGGACAGGCTGGCCTGGTCACTGGGAGCACATTCATTTAACAGATAGGAAGTACCTTCTGTGCACCAGGCGCAACTGCTTGCCCTCGTGATGCCAAGTTCTTGTGGAAGTGAGAGGGAATTTTCTCTATTATTTCTATGCGAATTTGTCTGCTTTGGGAGATGAAGACCTTTCTAAGTTTGAGGGAAGATGAAACAAATTCCCAAAATGGTAATGGTAGAATCTGAAATCCCTTTAGCAGTTATATAGTCAGATTGAAGCTTTTCTTTATCTTAGGGCATTGTTATCTTCTTGACCATTTTCTTTTTACCTTAATTTAGAAATAATTATTGTTCCATGAACGTTCTGTTCCATTAGGTTTGAGGATGTTTTTAGCTGTTGTGAGAACATGGGAAAATTTGACAGTGCTAAAGGCATTCGCCTGCTGCTGCACAGCAGGACCATGGTTATCATGAAGCCTGACCAATCAGAATTTTACCTGTTTGAGAACTTTTATTCATCTGAGTAAAATTTTGATATTACTTTAAAATTAAAGAGAGAACATAGCAAGGAACCCAAGATGGGATTTATTTTATTTTACCAGTTTTTTTCCATAAAAGTGGATTTCTGGTGTACTCTTGTAAAAGTATATGATGTTTTATTGGATGCAAT